TTCATTGAGATGGGATAAAATTGAGATCTTTGCTAAGTACAGAATATTCAACATCAGGGAGCGCAAGGTCAGAAAGGATAGCAAATGCATGATGGGAGATGAGTTTAAGAGAGGGGATGCAGTCGGTGGAAATTCCGAAGGTGTGGGTATCTCTAAGTTGTTGCAATCATCTCGCTGCTTACAACGTGGTCTGCTCTACATCGGTGAGATGAAATACACACTGGTTGAATGTTTTGCAGAACATGTATGCACCATCTGCGAAAGTGACCGTGAGCTTCCTGTTGCCCACCACTTCAACATACCACTGTGTTCCTTGGCCAACATCTCTGTTGCAGGCTTGCTGCAGTGCTCCAGTGAAGGTCAGTGCAAGCTGGAAGAACAGCATCTCATTTTCTGCTGGGGTCCCTGTAGCCTTCAGGACTCGATAATATCAAGTTCAATAATGTTAGGGCCTGAGCACCTTGTCACATGTCTTTTCTCCAAACCCCACACAGCTTGTCATTACATGGGTTGCTACCACAACCAACCCAAATGTTCCCCATTAGCTGCTGTTCACTCTCCCAGGCTGACGTTTACCCATTTCTTTGTCAGCTCAACTACTCTTCTCACTCTTTGGGCTCCATCTCCACCTATCATTTACTCCACCTCTTCCCACCCCACCTTTAGCATATATACTGACCTTTTCCTAACTAAAATAATTTCTGAAGAAGGGTCACTTGATCCAAAACATTAACTCAGCTTTCTCTCCACAAATGCTGTCAAACTTGCTGAGTTTTTCCAGCAATTCCTGTTTTCACTAGTAATTACCACTATAGACTCTGTGACAGTTCCTGTGAAAGAGTTAATTAGCAGAGGACTGGCGAGTGGGGTAGGTGTCCTATATCTGTAAGAGCTCAGGAGTATTGCCTTTGGGAGCTGATAGCCAAGGCATGAATGCCAGAGTGGAATACTCAAGCATCCAAACATAGTACTTCAAGAAGTTTGATGGCCTTGAAAAAGTACCCATGATTATCGAATACATCTCCAAATATTGAGTATAACAAAGAGCACCACCTGCCTTAGATGCCAGACCACCAATACTCACTTTCCAACAATTTCTATCAGTCAGGATTCATATCCAATATAAGAGAACCTCCAAGTGTCTCGGTATAGAATACACCAAGACTAGAATGCCTTGGCAAAGACTGTTTATTGTTTGCCACAGAGTTTACATCTCCATTCTATTAATCCCTTCGTGCAGGCTGTCCCCTTTGTATGTACACATTTAAGTTCATTTTTGATAAATGAAAATAATGAGACTAATTTTAACAAACCAAATCAAATTTAAATAAAGGACACTGTAACTTGATTCAGATTTTCTAAGAAAAGTTAGGGAACTTTAAATTAAAATGTCATTGGAGGGGATACGATGGCACTCCACTGCCTGGGGTGCCCACTGGCCACATGAAGCTTCAAGTGTGCGCACAGCGTGCTCCCTTTCCAATAACATTCAGGCACTGGCGTAATACTCATTTAAATACACTTGCAAAACTAAGAAATAAATTTAACCGTAACAAACAAAAATATAACAGCCTGTTGCAGCTGAAAAGAAAACTCAGGAATTAAATTAAAATGTTTTTGCTGGAGGAAATAATGCACTTCAGTGCCTGTCGTGCCCATATATTACAAAAAGCTTTGAGTGTTCCAGTGGACACTGGCAAGTGCCCTCTCCGAGTTCTCCCAATATCTGTTTACTCTGTTAACTTCAACTACCAGGTATTTAATATCTATCAACAGAACCTATTAAATACTAACATTTAACATTCAGATACTTCACCACATCCTTACACACTTAGCACTGCTGACAGTTGGCCTATATTACCAGCTTGACAGGTGCATCATTCAAATAGATTGTATGACATGCATTGACACACTTCCTTCTCTCTTGCAGGGCAGCTTGGCCACAACTGGAGGCAGAAGTTGCTAATCAGAGGGCACATACATGCCTCTATGTTCTAAACCTCCAGGGAAAAAAAAAAGTGATGGCCATCTGGCCATTACTGGGATATCAGCTGCTAAAGCCATAAAGATGTTCTCATAACTAATCCTTCTTCATGCTTCCCATCTCATCTAATTTACACACTGTAGACGGTATAACCATAACATGTGCCATAAACTTTGTCTTGTGCCTCTTCCTTTCAGATTGCAATGAGGTACATACTGGCCAGGCAATAGAGGAGCATGAAGAAGGTGATGATGATAACACAGCACTGTTCCTTAATTTCAAACTCAGATACTGATCCTGTTTATATGCTACTGATATATTTTGAGGCTGGAATAGAGAGGGTCTTGAACATGGTCAAACACTGGGCACACATGGGTTACAATTAGGGCAGGAGGCAAGGAAAATGTAGTTTTACTGCAGAGTGAAGTTGCACCTGGATTCCTCAATAGGGGATCCATAAAGGGATTTATTGTTGTGGATTACAGGAATGGACTATTAGGTATGCAAAACAAAATGCTGGATGCATTGGGAAGTCAGCCAGAGAGCCTGCTGTCAATGTTAATGAGCAGGGAAGTATCCTGGACCAACTTGGCACTCTGTTTAGCACAAAGCTTGAAGCTGATCCTTCCCATGTTAGAAATGATGGCCAACTCTATTCATTCACTAATGAACCCATCATCGATACACCATCTGATGGCCAGTCCTGCTCTGCAGCACAAACAAAAGCCACAGAACACCTGAGTGCTGTGGTCCAGCAATCTGTTTTCCAACAGATGGCCTGAACTGCTGAGGGGCCACTGAGGGAGCTTGCTGTCCTCTCTCAAGAATAAACCATTCATCGCCTGACCCCGGCACTCTGTCAGCGTTCTTGCTGTTGCCTGTCGGTCAGCCAGCAAGCCCAGACTGATGCTGTCCATGCTGAGATGGTGCAGTACAAAGATGGGTCTTTTCGGCCCAAAGCTTCTCCTGGCAGTCCTGCCAAGTAGACATGCAATTTCTCCATTGTATGTCAGGAGCCCTCCACCAGCCAAGCTATAAGGAGGACGAGCATAACGGATGACGTACGGAGGGAGGTACTGGGGATGAAGGCATAGGAATGATTGGCTCACTTTTATTCGCAATATGGCATGATTTTACTTTTAACAATTACGTTGAATATCTATTTTAATGGACTTTACGTGTTTTATTATGGTCAAGTGGATGGTGTATTGGTCAGTGACGAGGGAAGGTGTGGGAGAGTAGATAGAAGATGAATAGGCTTGTAGTTATTGGTGTAGCCCTTGAATAAGTTATTCACAGACAGCTCTGGCTGAAAGGAGCTGTCTAAGTTGCCTCCTGCTCTTCAGCTGTTTGACACATGGCTGGTCTTAGCAGCTACTCATTTTTGATGGCACAGCTGTACAACACATTGCATACCATTTCAAATCTTCACATCTGCTCTGAAGAGTTGAAAAGTTCTGCAGGATTCCCCCAGAGTGATTCAGTATTAAAAGCACTGTTTTAGTATGACTTGTGCACAAGAGTAGTCACCCATACTGTCAGTGGATAGCTCTTGGTGCTTAGTAGCCACTCTTTGGTTTGCCGTAGTGCCTCAAAAGCTGCTGGCATAGCGAATTGCTAAAGAGCAAAGGCATCACGACTGTAGTCCAGATGCCATGTGACCTGCATGATGCATCACCTATAGTCATACATTGAAGGAACTGAATTCTTTCCAATTCTGATATAGAGCACAGTTGGCATCCAGCATCTGCAAAATGATACGGCTCGCATATTTTATGGCACCTACAATACAAGCCCACAATGCTAATGAAGGCACTGCTCACCTCACCTTCTGAACTCTGACAACAGAGAATGGATTACAATCAGCTTTCGCTGTAGAGAGAGCGTTGGTAGCCCTTATAACAAAAGCAGAACTCTAAGACGTTGCATGTATCTTCAGCCTCAGCCCACTAAAAGCTGGACTCATACAACTTCACTATCACAGCTCCATTCACTATCAGTGCTAATGTGGTTTTGCCCTGTTCTGAGTCTCTAGTTGTGACTGGAGCAGTTTACACTTTTCAATGTACGCACATCCTGATAAACACATAGATATGTTACACAGTATTGCCCACACATGATGAGATTGGAGAATTACTCCCTGAACATCTGAGCTTTTCTTCCACTTCTCCTTTTTCCATCAATTTGTCCTGCACTTTGTGGTCTCTGTTCATTTTCCAAATCATACTGTAATCCAAGGCAAAAAGCTACTAATGCACCCATGTCCTGAAGCAAATGTTCGTGTAAAAGCCTCAAAGTCTGTCAAAGCCCTTTCACAATCTTTCATCTGACTCTGTCTAGGCTTTGAAAATGGAAAACAACTACAGATAACACTAAAATGCAAGAACTGAAAGAATGTAAGAAAACAACCAGAGCCTAATCTGTAAGCAGTTAATGATCTTTTTAAATAACACTAATTGGGAAGTTTTTCTGCTCCTGAATACACGTTCCACTCTTTAAGGGGCAGTGTTAGCTAGAGCACTGAGCTCCAAATGGTAGCACGGACATCAAATCAACATTGCATGCTGACTGACATATGATCCACCTACTGCGGGTGCTCACCAATATAATGTTCAACACATTTCACCTCAAAAGGATGTGGTGCACCATTGTTGCCATTTTTAGAGCTTTAAGGGCACTCAAACTCCAAAGAATGAATGTAAATGAATACATTTCTTCATCCATAGACACTTCCTTGTGCACAGCTCCTCAGACACCAACACAGAACTGTCACCTCTCATAGTAGGTTGTTCATCAACAGGGCTCAATGGCCAGAAAACAGACATGCTGGATATTTTGTAAGTCTCTGAGGCTAATTGTAGTCTTTCAGTTTTTGCCCCACAAATTAGATATTTTAATAGGAAAATGGTAGTCTGAAGTTTTGTTAAGGGTGAAAATAAATTGTCAAAAATGTTCTTATTGGAGTTTATTTCACATTCGCACCATAATCGTACAACCACATTAAAAAGTGTCTTACCTTTTTACACATCACCAATTGATGGTCAAATAGGAAGAAGGTCCTCTGCTGGTTCCGTCCATAAGGCTGGTAAATCCATGTCATTTCCCCAGAATAGATCAACTCTGAGCTCCTGTCCAGAACATCATCGCCCTTAAAATATATTAAAAAACTCATATAACAACTTGCATCTTACGAACCTTGAGGATTTATCACAATAGAAGTCTTCTGAAGGGCCTGGAAGCTTAATTACAGTAATCTATTTGATCTAATCAAATTTGACCTTTTTTTGACCATTAATGCATAAGGAGTAGAAATCAGATTTAGTTGCAACAGTTTTACTTACAATGTGAGCTAATATGAGGGAACAAAGATTGGAAATTGACTGAACTATTTATCAAGCTATGCCATAAATGGTAAAACAACCAGCTATTTTTTGTCCTTTTGGGAAGTTGGTGACCCAAGGAATAGTGTAGGTATCTAAACTACAATGCTGAGCTTCAACTTGCCTACATTGCATCCTTGAAATCAGCTCAGCTAAAAAGGGGCAGCTTACAGAAATTTATTCAATAATTAACTGATACTTATCCATCAATCAACTTCATTAAAAACATATTATCAGATCATTATTGTCATTTATGGAAACTTGCTGTGTACAAATTGACTGCCTTTTGTCCCACATTACAGCAGAAATTACACTTGAAAAAGACCTCAGTGTTTGTGAAATGTTATGCAAGGCCTTTAAGTCACAGCAGTGCTACATAAATACAAGTCTTTCCAATTAAATTTTCAGCAAAATTAACATTTGCAAAAAAAACACAAGGAGCCAAAAATTGTGATCCTCATGCTCCATCTTTGTTTTGTCCCAACCATGCCCCCTACCACAATGCCTCCAATATTATCCCCCTCCATTCCTAGCAGCCACTTAAAACCACTGAAGCAGGTGACCTGAAACTTACTCATACGAAGTGCAGCTGACCATAGAGATGTGACAGGGACAAAGTCAGATCTCCCAGATTGTTTACGTGAGGCCTGGCTCTCAATTTTGTGCTGGTCTCAGGCTTCCCAGTAAGATCACATATTGAGGCTACATCACTGCCTCTTTTGTGCCATATTGGACAGCAACAAATTTCTATAGAAGCGCTTTTTAGACAAGGACTCGTCAATGAGGCAGCCACTGCACAGAAAATACCAAGCCTGTTTCATAAACCAGCGCTTTTTCACCATATCTTCAATTCGTGCCTACTTTAAAAATGTACAAATTTGTCTATTGTTAATTCAGTTGTGTTATAAATCTAAGGTCATTCTGCTGAAGCTGCAAGTATCCTATCCAATATCTTCAACAGTAATGTTTGTTGTGATCACCAAGACACAAGGAAACCACAAGTTCTGAAGATGTGAACAGAGCTGTGACAGGCCGATCCCTACTGTCAAAAGATTGTGTTAAATAGAAAGATTAAGAATCGTGGCTTTTAGTCTTCAGTACAGGTAACTGAAAGTGGTCCTTATCGGAGTGTAACAGATACTCAGGATGTAAATTCAATACAAAAGAAAGCTGTGAAAGGGCTGACGATGCTCTATTGGCCAGAATTACTTCATTCCCCACTGAGTGGAATAAACAAGAACAATCTAGAGCACAGTTCTAATTTCAAAATTAATTGTAGGAATTGAAGTTCAAACTGGAAAAAGGTATATTCATAATTAATGCCATGGAGCATAGTGAGATTAGTGTAGTTTCCAGATTGGTTAACAGAGCAAAAAAAAATGACTGGAACAACCCAGGAGGAGTTGGTTATGATGGGCTAGATTTTCATCCTAGAACAGTGCAGTGGAAGTTTGGAAATTTGCTGGCTTGGTGTGCCCACCTCTGGAGAAAGTGCCTGCAAAGGTAGGATTTTTGTTTGAGGATGACGGATGCTAACCAGAATCAGCTCAGTAACCTCATAAGCAGTTTAGAGGCAACCACGGGTTGCTGAGTGCTGACAGGCTGTATAAAAGGCTTGTCTCGATGTTCTGGGACTTCCTTCTTGGTGTAATTACAGATGTTAGGCCATCTAGCCATCATTCCTCAAATTCCTTCACACACTCCACATGTCCTATTCATGGGAAACCATGCCCCATCCATGCCTTGATGGCCCCTCATGTTCTCTATGCCAACATGTGGCCCTTCAACCTCTCCCCTCATAATGCCTTCTTGCTGAGAGCCCAGGCATCCATTAGTCTGTTGAAACTGCTGTAACCAAGGGAAGCCACTCCTTGATTGAGAGCTTTTTCTCTTTGACTAATTGAGAAAATAGATCGACATTTATTTACATGAGATAAAGTGGCATAATGTGCTTGTAGTCTCTGCTATTAATAGTTTAAAGGCCTAGATTGTTGTCTCTTTTACAGGGCTGTAGTAAAGGAAGTTTTTATTTAAAAGAAAATATGAAGGCTTCGTTGTTTTTCTTTTCCACACATGCCATTGTTACTAATTGGCTATGTACAGAGTGTATACTGGGTGAATAAAGACAAAAGTACCATAAATTGGTATGAAATGTATGAAAGGCCATTGGGGTGAGAGAGGTATCTAGGTTGGCATGGAGGATAAATGGAGCAATTGGGATGGGTGGACGGCCATAGGTTGACAAGGCGACATGGGAAGACATTTTGAAATTGCGTTCGGAAGGTCCTCTCTTCCAGGGTATGGTTCATGAAACTTCTATGTGGCTATGAATCATGAGTTCTTGAAAAGCTGGCCTGACTTCCTAAAAATTGTAGGGAGCTGAGTCTATCCCCACAATGAAGCCAGCGAGGAAGGGAACACAGGGTGCAGATCTGCACTCTTATCTCATACTGATGAAAACTGATGGAGTCAGGAATCCTGGAATCAGGGCCCACTCACCATTTTAAACATTCACAGCCCCAAATCCGCAAAAGTCCAACCAAATGACTGGGAGACCATAGATTTCTATAGGAATGATAAGCTAGACAGATTGAAAGCCTTCTCTCCTTTACACTAATCCTTCTGATCATCCACTTAAACCATCTTTTTTTTTTCAAAAATTGGACATGTCACATCCCACATGTCACAATTTCGAGTTACCCCATGCTCTGAGAATTGATATTGTATTGAATAACTTTATACTTATTTTTGGAGAGTGAGCTACACAATTTAAAGTGCAATCTGTCGATTAAGGCAACCTTTGAAACTGTGGATAGCATCATCTGACCTGTTTTTTTACCCAAGTGTGATGACGAGCCCCAGAAAGTACAGGACCCTACCCACCGTTCTAAGTGGGAAAGGCTCTTGTATCTATCAGGCACTAACTGGTCACCGGGTGGGCTTTTCGGGGGGCACCTTCTGCAACAGCAATGTCCAACTCTGTTGGAGGTTGCTGACCAGTCAGAGATTGGTAGACTCTGTGAGTCGCAGTGACCAGGGGCTGCTCACAGCTCAGTAATAGCAAAGTCCAGGAACAATGCTCAAGACAGGTTATTTTTCAGGGATACCACAGGGTAGGGGGCTGTCAGGGATAGGCAGTCATGGGGTTGTAGTTACAGGCAATTGGGTTGGATTTTATTGGCTACTTCCTGCTTACCATCACTGCCCCCAGTTACCTCCTTATTGGGGTTGATTGAGACACACCACCATCACACAACCCAGCCCAGCTGGCAGACCATTTCACCAGTCAAGAAGACTTGCCAGCCTTCTTACGCATGAAGAGGCCCTTAAATGGTTGTTAATTGATCACTTACAAATCTCAATTGGCAGTGGGGTGAGAAGGTGAAGCCTAGGCCCTTCTGTACAGAACCTAATTCCTGTAGTGTGCCAACGCAGCAGGTATCTTCCCGATGCCAAACTGCCTGAATATCTTCCCCTCCCACCAGTTTCCCTGCCACTTCTCAGGAGAAGAAGGTTCTGTCTTGTTTCTTTATGTAACCCCCCAACATTACAATTATGTGAAAATGCTGACTGAAAACAACAATTGCTTTTAAACAAAGCTTTCACACCTTTGGGAGATTCATATATTTGAATATTTTCTTTGGTTAAGTAATAATTCAAATGACTTGCAAAATGTAAATAACAGTTTTGTTGTTACAACAGTTAATGTTAGCATACTTTAACAATTTAGACATAAAAACAGCCAGAGATTTTGACTCCATGTAATTTCAAACCCTGTTATTAGTACTAATTTTTGATTTTGTATTGAGTGCAATATTTTTTAAGCTTTTCAAAGGAATGAAAATCCCAAAATATGGCCAAAAATAAATGCCTAAAATGAGAAACCAAAAAGCTAATTATCTGGTTATTTCCATACAAGTAGTTACAAGATTTGGCATGAAATTACCTTTTATTCAAAATATAGGAAAGCTTCCCAATGAGGTAGTGTGGGTAGTGTTATATTTGCACAGTTAGAAATTTTGATGTTTGTTTCTGTGTACAAAATCTGTTTTAATGTACCGCTGTTAATTCAAGATAATTTGTTACTTCGAAAGAAATAATTCAAACCAAGTAGTTCAAGCCATCATATCTCTTAAATCTTCCATTAACGGTTGAATAATGCAGCATAGGAGGTATGTTGAATAACTTGAATGCAAATTTATAGACATGATAAGCAGCTTCGAAAAGATGGCTACACTGTTTGTATGATGGCATAGTTGATACATCTAGATTTAAAATGATTTTGAGTATAAGGTGCATTGTCCATCTTTGAGTTTATTTGGGAAAAGTGTGACACATTTGATGTACTACATAACATATTTAGTTTAAGGCAGCTTACAAAGGAACATAGGACAGATTTCAAAAAAGCTTTTGCAGGCTATTTAGCTGGTCACGATATCTTGACATTACATTTACCATCAAATTTTTTGTCAAGCATTAATTAAATTACTGCTTGCATATGCTCATACAATTAGTAGTTATTTGCGTGCTTACCCGGACCCATACCTTTTTCATTCGCTCCACAGTCAAATCTAAACTACCTTTTCATTACCCTTCTTCTAAGTTTGAAATGTTAAACCCATTGACATTTAGCTAACCTATACTTAGAATTTTAAACACTTCAAGAAAAGCAACCCTCTTATCTTTAGGTTATTCATGGCATTTTTCCGTTCTAATCCCTCATCCTTGGAAGTTATAAAAATACTCTTTATGTCAATTTGGGAGTAAG